CTCCTGTTGCCCCTTCCTGCCTCTGTGGCAGGCAGTTGCCAGCTCCTCCCTGTAGTGGCTCCTGTTGCCCCTTCCCTGCTGGCTTCTCCACTGAGGAAAGGAGGAAACAAACATGGAGGGTGTCTTTCTCAGGAAGGAACTCCACCGATGCACCCCAAGGGCAGGGTGCTTTTGAAGAGCCTGCATTGACCACTTCCTCCCAGTGGCCTGGGTTCGGACAGGAGCATGGACTTGTCCTCAGGTCTTGAGTTTCTTAGACAGAGGTCCAACAGCCACCACAGGGATTGAAGGAAGGGAGGAGGAAAAACCAGGCAACAGGAGAGATACAGACTTCAGGAAATTGTTTTCTAGTGCTTGGTCCATTGATTGTATAAACTGGGGAGGGCTGCTCTTTGCAGACTCCACTGAAAGGACTTCTGGGGTCTAGACACACAGCCTTTATTTTCCTTTTATGGACAGTGAGTTCTGATGGAAGGCACCTTGATAATCTCGGTTCAGCCCCTAACTCAACTGTGACACCTTAGGTAGATGGCCATGGTTTCTGTTTCTCAGTTCAGAAAGTATAGACAGCTGAACCTTCCCAGAGCTCATACCCTTGGGTATTTGTAGTGAGGGGGACAGTGTGCAGGAAGCATTTTCAGTTGTGGTTTAAGTCCCAGTGAGTCCCTCCATGTGGACGCAGTGCCCAGCCCCCTCAGAGCCCCAGCCCACTCGCCTGGGTGGTGGAGGCAGCGGGCTGCAGGTAGTCACTGGGGCTGACAGCGGCTGTGGCAGCCATGCTGGCCTGCGGATCTGTTGGAAGAAAGAAATGGAGTAATGCACAAGATGCTGAGTGAACCCAGCCCCCTTGCCTCTGATTTTCTTTTAGCCACTATTTCCTGCTTCTTCTCCAAGAAAAGTTATGACACATTCCTCGTGTTGTCTATTTCTCTTCTCTTCAGACTTGGCTATTGGAGGCCATAAGGACAGGTGGTTGGTCCTACCTGCACTGGACTGTACCCTCCAGCAATCAGAAAGTCTGAGATAACATGAAGATAGGATGACTGTCTTCTGTAACTAAGCTGTAGCACCCTAACAGCCCTCTCTCTGATGGTCATTCTCCCTAGCTAGATCAGAACGCTTCGTGTGGGTAGGGGGAACCCCCAGCTCATCATTTAGCTCCAAGTGAAGTTTGCTGCCTACTGCTGTTGTAGCCAGCTGCCACACTGGCCTGGGAGGGAAACAGGGAAAGAGTGCTTGGCCAGGATTCCTGATGAGGACCATCTGCTCCATCCGGAAGACGTGGGTGTTTTGTGCTCCACTGTCCCCACTGAGGCAGTATGGCTCCAAGTATCAATAAATAGTATCTGGGTAATTTCATTAAGTGAATTTAGACTTTTATACAGTACAAAAGGGAAGGACTCTGGCAGCATCAAGACTAGGTAAGGCCAGTGGTCAGACAGAACTGGAAGGATGAAAGTACAGTGCATTCAACGGGTGCTTTAAAGTGTGCGTCAATTTCCTTGTAAGAATATAGCTGAGTAAGAAAGTCTCAAAAAGAATGCTAAAGCATTAAAAACCACCATCTCTGGGTAGTAGAATTTTGTTTGACTTTCAGGTTTTTCTTCTTGTTTTTTCTGTATTTTCTCATTTTCCCAAATTGAACATACTCTAACCTAACCCAAGTGTATTTTTATTCTTCAGTAAAGGGAAATAAGGCCGAGGAAATCATGAAGGTAAAGTCTAGTTCACTTAAGTCTGATTTAAAAAAAAAAGATGAAATAAGTAAAATGGAATCATGGGAACTTGGGGGAGAAGAAACTATGCGTCTACAGTTCGGGAATCCTTAAGGAAAAGAACACTGGCACCTGCGCACTGGACCTTTGGAAGTACAAGGAGGGGCTAGAGGGACAGGACTTCAGACACTCAGAGGCAAGTGGGCTCAAGAAAAAGCAATTTGTAAATAAAATTCACAAATCTTACCTCTGGTGAATAGGAAGAAACCAGTGGCCACACTGACTGCAGTCACTTTTAATACGATGTTTCTCTGCTCGTTTTGCTAGCACTGGGTTGTGGAGGAAGTGTATGTGGGGTAGACACTTGGTTGAGACTCGAGACTTGAATTTAATAGATAATGTGTAAAAGAGCCAGGAGAGGTAATATTTCAAGATTGAAGCCAAGAAAGGGACTTTGACAAATATAAAAGGCCTTAAATTAAACCACCAGAGAGGAGCCATTTGATGAGAAGAAGACAGACAGAGGTCAGAGAAAGCAGAACTGTCTTCATTTTGGCTGGTCTCTGGCTTCTCCAGAAGAATGATTCTTAAATGGGAGAAGGGAATGAAAAGGTAGCTAAGGACAGGGGATGGGCTGGTAAGAGGGCACGCCAATGCCTGAAAATGGTCTCCGTGCTCTGAGCCCCAGCAAACTGCACTCCAGATCTGGGAGACTTCACAGACACACTTGCAAACTATGAGGAGCCATAGGACAAAATCTCTGTAGATCCTGAAAGCAGGTTCCAGAACAAATGACTGAACACCACTGCAATTAGGAAAGGAAGAAGCGATCAAAGGGACTAAGTATAGGAGTTATTTTTAAAACAAACCTCAGTTTCTTCTCTAGAGAACTCTCGTCAGGAGACTGGTAGATACCATGCATTTAACTCAACAGGCATTGAACTGGAAATTCCCCAATCTTCTGAGCAATGTGAAAAATGTGGACTGGAGGGTAGTCCCTGCTGGGGGCGAAGCTGAGCATGCCTTCACAAGTGGTGAGGTCAGCCGGTGTGTGTCACACAAGGGGTAGGTCCTGGAACTACGGTTCACGCACAGGCTTCTCCTCAGGAGCTCATGCTTTCTCTGTAGGTTTCATTTTTCACTTTGATGATCAGCTTTTAAAAATGACCATCATACTACAGGTTCTTAGTCTGTTTTAGTCGGGATGCTCCGCTGAAACGTGTCCACTGTGGGTGACCCTACTGGTATTGAAAATGCTGCTGGCATAGCTTCCAGCATCACAGCCACACACAAGCCACCACAGTAGGACAAACTGACAGACTCCGAAAGACTAGGGAGGAGAGGCAGACTACTTCTGAAGAGTTAGACACTGAAAACCTTAAGAAGAGCAACGGCCCACTGTCAGACCGCACCACAGCACCAGAATACTGATTACTGAAGCATGATGAAGAGCGCCCAAATATTGTCAAATATAGTGCCGGAAGACACTCAAAATACGAGTGGGGAAGAGCTGCCGCCTCAAAGTGGAGATGACCACAATAATGCGAATGAAATAAAGCTTTCAGGACATTCATTTGCTGATGGGGCACAACTCAAAATTAGGAGAAACAACCTTAAACATCCATTAATAACTGGGAAATGGAATGTACAAAGTATGAATCTAGGAAAATTGGAAATTGTCAAAAATGAAATGGAGTGCATAAAGATCGATATCCTAGGCACTAGTGAGCTGAAATCTACTGCTGCTGGCCATTTTTAATCTGAAAATCATGGTTTACTATGTTAGGAATGACAAATTGAAGAGGAATGGCATTTCATTCATCATCAAAAAGAACATTTAAGATCTGTTTTGAAGTATAATGCTGTCTGTGATAGCATAATATCCATATGCCTACAAGGAAAGCCAGGTATTATTCAAATTTACGCACCAACCACTAAAGCCAGTGAAAAATAAACTGAAAAATTCTACCATCTTCTTCAGTCTGAAATTGACTAAACATGCAATCAAGATGTATTGATAATTTAAAAAAACAACAACCAAGGGAAAAGAAGCAAATACTGTTGGATGATGATGCACGGAGGGGATTGTAATCATTGCAATGAAATGAGTGTAAAACCGATGTTCTCCCATGTAAACTATCACTCAATTCACAATGAAAACGTTAAAAAAAAAAAAGTATTGATAATTACTGGTGATTAAAATGCAAAGGTTGGAAACAAAGAGTAAGGATCAGTAGTTGGAAAATATGGCCTTGGTGATAGAGATGATGCTGGAGATCGCATGCTAGAATTTTGCAAGACCAGTGACTTCTTCATTGCAAATACCTTTTTTAAACAACATAAAAGACATAAAACACATGGACCTCATCAGATGGAATGCACAGAAACCAAATTGACTACATCTGTGGAACGCGATAGAGGAAAAGCTCCATATCATCAGCTGAAAAAGGCCAGGGGCAGACTGTGGAACAGACCATCAATTGTTCATATGCGAGTTCAGGCTGCAGCTGAGAAAATTAAAACAAGTCTACAAGAGCCAAAATATGACCTTGAACATATCCCAGCTGGATTAAGAGATAAACTCATGGGCAGATTTGATACATTAAACACTAATGACCAAAGACCAGAAGAGTTGTACAATGACATCAAGAACATCACACAGGAAGAAAGCAAAAGGTCATTAAGAAGACAAGAAAGAAAAAAAGATGAAAATGGATGTCAGAGGAGACTTGCTTTCCAGCATAGAGATGCTAAAGCAAATGAAAGAAATGGGGAGGTAAAAGAGCTGAACTGAAAATGTCATAGGGCAGTTTGAAAATACAGTCAAGAATTATAATGAAATGTGCAAAGACCTGGAGTTAGAGAACCAAATACTCAGCATTTCTCAAGCTGGAAGAACTGAAGAAATAATTCAAGTCTTAGTTTGAAATATTTAAAGAATTCTACGGGCAAAAGATGAGTGATGCAGAAAGCATTAAAAAAAAAAAAATGGCAGGAATACAGAGTCACTGTACCAAAAAGTTCAGCCATTTCAAAAAGTAGCAAATGATCAAGAGTTAATGGCACTGAAGGAAGAAGTCCAAGGTGCATTGGTAACAAAGTGATGCAACACTGAAGGCACTCACTCATCTATGCCAAAAAATTTAGAAGACAGCTACCTGGCCAACTGACTGGAAGAGATCCATATTTGTGCCTATTTCAAAGAGGCGGCCCAACGGAATGCAGAAATTATCAGACAATATCATTAATATTATATGCAAGTAAAATTTTGCTAAAGATAATTCAAAAACAACTGAAACTGTACATGGACAGGAAATTGCCAGTGGTTTAAGCCAGATTCAAATGAGGATGTGTAATGAGGGACATCAATGATGATGTCAGATGATTCTAAGCTTACCAGAAAGATGTTTACCTGTGCTTTACTGACTATGCAAAGGCTTTCACTGTGTGGATCAAGACAAGTTATAGATAACATTGCAAAGAATCAGTATTCCTGAACACTTAATTGTGCTCATGAGGAAGCTGTACACAGACAAAGAGGCAGTGAAGAACAAAGTGGCATCAGGATTGGAGGAAGACTCATTAACAACCTGAGATATACAGACAATACAACCTTGCTTGCTGAAAGTGAAGACGACTTAAAATAATACTTACTGATGAAAATCAAACACCACAGCCTTTAGTTTGTGTTGCACCCCAATGAAAAGAAAAAAAAAAAACCCCTTACAACTGGACCAATAAATAATATCATGATAAATGTTGTCAAAAACTTCATTTTGCTTAGATGCACTATCAACACTCATGGAAGCAGCAGTCAAGAGATCAAATGACATATTGCATTAGGCAAATCTGCTGAACAAGACCTCTTTCAAGTGTTCAAGAACAAAGATTTCAGCTTGAGGACTAAGGTGCGTCTAACCCAAGCCAGGTTATTTCCAGTGGCCTTATATGTATGTGAAAGTTAGATAATAAAGAAGATCGTAAAAGAATTAATGCATTTGACTTATGGTGTTGGAGGAGAGTATTAAAAGTTACTATGAGCTGCAAGAAGTATAAATAAATCTGTGTTGGAAGAAT